TTCCTGCTTGGGCACCTCTGCCTGGGTGCTGCTTCATGGATCCCCCAGTTGGCGAGGTAATGAAAATAAATTTACTCTTTGCATTTCATCCGTGGTTTTGCGGTTGTTCCTGTGACCTGCCTGTGCCGGCTCACACACCATCCCACAAAGGGCAAGATCTCCTTCAGTATATATTCCCACAGTCAGCACTGACGCTACACAATTAAGACTTAATGCTTGTAAGAATTTTAACCAGCAAGGCTTTCAGCAATGAAGACAGCCTTATAGTATATCCTACAAATCACACTGCATTAAGACTAATTTAGACTAGCCGGCAGCACTAGAGATCAGAGGGAACTTTGCTTCACTATACTCAAGTATTTCTCACAGTCCTGAAATGTCTGGACACTACTGTGCATGCCAGCAAAATGACTAGGTGTCAAAGCAACACAGAGTATCTATTCTCTGGGCAAATACCATTTATGTAAGAGGAAATTACAGAAAAACAGAAACACTTTTCAACATATCCCATTGTTACCACAATTTATGAACTGAAATAAGTAGATTGCTTGAATGATGACCGTGATGGCCATCCCAGCAATACTCTCCCACACCCTGAGCTGTGGAGCTCACATGTTTTATTACATCAATCCAGAAATTAATAAGTGGGGGACATTGACAGCACCAGGCCAGATCAGTGTATACTACGTATAAGGAGGTACTGCAGAAGGATGGAGAGAAGAATTCTTTCAGTTGCAATTACACTCAAAATACATAGATTTTGGAACACCATTTGGTCTTAAACATAAAATATTTATCTTACCAGTGTTAAAATCCTTTTAAAAATAATAAAAGAAATATAAATTAAATATAAAAATAATAAATGAAAGCTAATACCCCTTGAAGTGTCAGAAAAGCACTTTTCCTACAAAACAATTAGCAAAGTCAGTTGAGACTCTCATCACACAAAGCAAAGTCGTTGCAGCTCTTAAAATTCAGAATATTATGTAAAGACCAGATATGGTTTTCCAATAGGAATCTCTCAGCTTTTTTCTTGCCCTCAGCCAAATTAGACAAGAAAAATTCACATACGTTTTGTTTCCCAGAGACCTCTTGACCTTCTGTTGTCTGTGATGTCCAGGCTTGGTGTCCTAAAAAAGCAGAACAATTCACATTAGCAGCATATTTTTTCTTCTTTTTGCATGTTTCACTTTTCAGTTAAACACAATCACCTGCACTTTGAGGATGTCCATACTATTCTCTGAAAAGGAAAACAGTTGTCTGCAACAAGGAAGTGTTTAACCTTTTCAACTCCAGCTGAATTAGAACTGGAATCAAAATAGGAATGAGCCCCTCTACACTCCCCATATGAAAGCCAATCATTCCCCCCGCACTGGGGCATGATGGAGTGTTCTTTGTCTCTAATTCATTCAGTGGTACCTGCTTTCTGTCTAGACTTATCACATGATGACAAATATTTTAGATCCTTATTTACTAGTTTTTACATAGTACTTACTTTTTCTTTAATGAAATAATTCTTGCATTTGCCATATCAAGAATGTTGTCTCTAGTCTCTTTTATGCCCTCTTTTCATTTTTTATCTCAATTATTTTGTCATACTCCACCAGCTGCCCAGATATTCACTTTATCCACATCACAGAATCCTCCTTCTTATTTAACAAAGATTTTTTTGTCACTTATTGCTTGTTGCTTCTTATGCTTCTATTAAGACATGTAATTTAACAGATACCAATGACATTCCCAAGTCAGTATAAACAACTTATTTGCTGTAGATTGTTCCTGGCATGAAGACAATCATTTATCACCTTCTTCCAAATGCTGACTCAATATCGTTCTTCATTGGGAAACCTGAGACAAAAATCTTGGTTATGCAGACTAGAAAACAAAGATCATTGCTCAGTAGAAGTATACAAAATACCAAAATTGTGACCTAGGAACAGAGATAGTATTTTGCCATGTACAGGAACTGGCTAAGAAACTGGAAAAAAAAAAAAGAAAGAAAATTGATAAATTACCCATCTTCTTTATAGAAAAATGTAATGCACATTATCAACTGGATCATGCTATAAAGTGTTTTAGTTATTATAAATAAATGCTACACATTATCTGGGGAAAGCAGTGAACAGGGATATGACAGAATTTGAAGTCATAAAAATGTGATGACTTGTCTGGAGAAGATGCCAAGAAGCTTCAGGTGCTGTATCAAAACTACAGAATAGGCAGCTTCAAGGTAAATGAAATTCACCACAAAAAAAAATGCACTGAAAAAAAACCCCTTAAATCTATCTTTTATATTCTTGTGTTGTAGCTTATGCATAGAAACAAGAAGTAATTCACTCTTCCCAAGACCACAGTCAGTGAGAAACACTCTAACCACAAGGTAAGAAATTCAATAATGGGCACTGACATCAACTAGATGAATTTTTAAACTGTAACTATGGCGTGTCAGTGTCAACTATGTTGGGCCTCCAACACCAGCATCTCCTCTCATGGAAAGCTTAGGGAAGCAGCAGGAGAGAAATTCACAACTGCATGATCAATGATTCCACAATCCTATCTTGCCTTCTTTGGAGGAAAAGTTAATTAAAGGTTTGTGCTTGTATTACTTTGATATGGCTTACATGTATCTAGCAGTGCAAACAGCAGTGCTTGGGAAACCCCTAACCAGAAAGCTGGAGAAACCTCACTGAGGAGCAGCTAGGAAAAATTAGGCCTGTGAAGTTATAACGATAACAATGAACAAACAGGAAGGCATAGTCTGCCGCAATCAGATGGGCTAATCTACCATTAGAAGAAACTAGATGATTGACAGACACGGCACATGTTTTAAGATATTTTTTTAGAACTAAAAAAATTTGCATAAAAGTGGAGATTACTATGAAGAATTTAGGTGACAGTTAAGAATCTGCAACAAAAAAGAAAGTACAGATGATCTGTCTAGCCTTCCTTTCTGAGAAGATGGTATCAGCAATTACGAAGGAAACATCTAGAGAAAACGTGGTCGGGTTTTGAATGTTTTTTTTTA